TCCACATGTTTAGAAGACTCCATAATCCGAGCTGAAACGCCGAATCGAAAATGCGCCATAAACATCTGCTGCCTGGGCTGCCATGACACATCTACGGTGAGGACATTTGATAAGAAGCCCTTGGATAAGGAATCCAGGGTATGGACGCCAGTGGAACGCCAATCGAGGCTTGGCCATGGACATCACCGCCGCACTCGTCAGATAAGGCATCCTCCAGGGTCTGAAGCCTCCTGGGCCCATTCCATCACCAACGCCCCCACCGTATCCAAAAGCTCACGATCTGAATGTCCCGGGCGCAGTGTCATGGGCGCATGCTTTTCCAGTGCGCCCCGCTCCCGTTGCCACGCGCAGCGCCCGTCTGCCAGCAGCATGTGGAGGCGAGCCCACGGCATGATGGCGAAGGCGCGGTCGCACACATCGTCCGTGGGACGTGTGACGGGGTTGAGCTAAAGCATAGCAAGCGAGAGGGCGTGGGAATCGCATGGCGAGGGCATTGGATCAGGAACCCTTGGATAAGGAGTCCAGGATCTGGCAGCTGGTGACACACCGATCGTGGATTAGCCATGGATATCACTGCAGCCCTCATCGGGCAAGGAATATCCGAGGGACTGAAGCCTCCTGAGCAGATTCCTGAACGAACGCCCCCACCGTAATCATAGAAAGCGAGAGGGAGTGGGAAGCGTAAGGTGAGCGAGCAGCCCAATGAACAAGCGGAAGAAACAAAAGAGAACCCGCGAAAGGACGCACGGTGAAACGAATGCAGCAGTGCTTCACACCCGGCGCTAGGAGCCATATGGCGTAGTTGCCTGCAGTGTCTCTTAGATTGCCAGCTCGGGCCCTTAAGTCCAAGAGGCCAAGAAAATCCGCCACCGCGCCACCGCCGCCGTGCTTGGCGGCATGTCCCCTGCTCTTCCAGGACCGACCCTCCCCGCTCCGGGCACGCAGGCTCGAAGACCGCCCCCCCTCCCTGCAAGCTCGGGATGCTTCTCACCCGAGGCCGGTCCAGCGGCAGACGCTGGCATGCAGCCGGTCACATGTTAGCGGGGGCGAGGCGATGTGGGCTTGCACCGCCTGGTGTGCACCACACAGATCTCTCCGAACCATCCTGTGGGGTTGGGCACTCGTTCAAAACAGACAGCGACCCGCGTCACTACTCGCCTCTCCTCTCCTCTCCTCTGCGCCTCCTACTCCTCTCTCCTCCCATCCTCGCCTCTGCCCTCCGCATGTCAATCATGTCGGCTCACACGTCACACGTTCCATGGCCCCACCGAGGGCCCCAGCGGCGACGTTCGCATGCGTCCCCCCCGCCCATGTCGGCACACCCCTCACACGCCTCATGGCCCCATGGGGAACTACACTTAGGCCCCAGTGGCGACGTTCGCATGCGTCCGTTCACCCGTGGCCCCATAGGAAACTCCACCTAAGGCCTCGGCAACGTTCGCATGCGCCCGCCCCACCGAGTTCGGCACACCACTAACACATGTCGTGCTCCCATGGGGAGCTCCACCAAAGGCCCCTCTGGCGACATTCGCACGGCCCCCCCCAAACGATTTCGGCGCATTTCTCACACGCTTCCTGCCCTGAATGGGGAGCTCCACGTGAGGCCTCAGTGGCGACGTTCGAATGCAGTGCCCCTCGCCGATTTTGGCACGCCCCTGACACGGTCGTGGCCCCACACGGAACTCCAAGGAAGGCCCCAGTGGCGACGTTCGCATGCGCCCCCCTCTCCCCCCCCACCCACTTCTGCACGCCCCTCACACGTTCCATGGCCCCCAAAAGAGTTCCACCGAGGGCCCCACTGGGGCCGTGCACATGTGTCCCCACCGCCCATTGTGGCACACCCCTCACACGTTTCGCGCCCCAATCACGAGCTCCGAGTAAGGCCCCAATGGCGACGTTCGCATGCGTCCGCCCAATCGTGGCCCCACAGAAAGCTCCACCGAAGGCCTCACGGGCAACGCTCGCACGCGCCAGTTCCACTGGTTTCGCCACATCCCTCACACGCTTCGTGACCCTATGAGGAACTCCATTTCCTACGGCCCCAGTGGCGACGTTCGCACGCGCCCCCCTGTCAAATTTCGGCACACCCCTCACACGTTGCGAGGCCTCATAGGGAGCTCCACTTAAGACCCCAGCGGCGACGTTGCATGTTCTTCCCACCAAGAATTTCGGTTAGCCCCTCAAACGTTGCGTGGCTTCATAAGGGAACAGTGGCGACGCTCGCATGCATTTCCCACCGACAATGTCGGCAAACCCCCCAAACATTGCGTGACACCAAAAGGAGCTCCACCTAAGGCCCCTGCGGCGACGCTCGCATGCGTCCCCCCGCCCATTACGGCACACTCCTCACACATGTCGGGGCCTCGTAGGAGGTTCCATCGAAGGCCTCGATGGCTGCGCGCGCGGCACCGCCTGATGACCGTTTCGGCACGCCCCTCGCGCGCTTCGTGGCCCCATAAGGAGCTCCACCGAAGACTCCAGAAGCGACGTTCGCAAGCGGACCCCGGACCCATCAGGGCGCACCACTCACACGCTTCGTGGCCCCACTGGAACCTCCACCGAATTTCCCGATGGCACGGTTCGCAAGCGCCCCCCCATCAAACCACCATTACGACACGCCCTTCGCGCGCTTCGTGGTACCATAGGGATCTCCACCGAAGACAACGATCGCAACCGCGGCACTCACGACTACATATGGTTGGATCTTCGCGAAGATAGGGGGAGCAGGGATCCAATTTTACTTCGCTGCTCGCTCGCTACTTAAGCCAGAATCACGTGAATTCTGTGTGTCAGTCGCCTGGATCAAATTGTTTCGCATGGAAACCTCAAGGGTCCAGCTCTTCCCCAAAAGTAGATATGCAATTTCAGTCTACGCATATGACCCGCAAAAAGCTGGATCCACGGAGCCTTGGATCTGCATGCCAATTATATGTTTTTACGGGGAAGACGCGGTTGGGCCGCAGCACTGTGCGTTCCTCTTCCGGTCGTTGCTCGGGCCTCGGTGTGGTGCTCGGAGACATTCTCCAGCCTCTGGCGTTATTCTTCGATGTATTATTGCGGCCCCCAGGCGGCTCCAAGCAGCCAAAGACCGCCCCTAACCAGCCTCAATACGCCCCCCGGTCAGTCCGAAGGTGGCCCAACGTGTCCCCGCAGGCTCCAACATCCCAGCAGTGCACCACAAGAGGAACCTGAACGACACCCAAATACACAGCCGGGAACAGAGTTATAACAAAACCAACAAGACGATCATCTTGAATGATCAACGCCCAAAGAGGACCATTAAGTGAGATTCGCCTTTCAATGTTGGCAGCGTGCGCGGGCATGCACCATGGGCCAGGTTATCGATATGACATACGTTGGCTTGTGCGCTCGGTGGCCACATTGGGAGGCGGATGCCACTTGATGCCCGGGCGCTCTTGCAAGCTGATCCTTCACAGGGCCGCTGGCGTGGGCGGTTCCACGTTCTGCATTGCGGTTTCGTTCCCACAGTCGGATTGATAACATGTACCGCGCAGTGCAGACGAGACGATTCCGTAACATTGACACGCGGATGTCACTGGATGCGACGGGCCCCGCCTGGTCTGATTATACATCGTGTCGGCTTCCATCCCTGTGACACTTTTGCTAAAACACTTGTTTCACGGGGACGTAGGCCTCCAGCGAAGCTCTAAGAGGCGGGCGGGTGGTATTGGGAGGAGATCTCAAATGGAGATGGAGAAAGGCGCCCTAAGGGAGGCCTTTAGGGCCCCTGCTGGCTGGTAAAGGGGGTCTGCAGGACCTCCCTTAGCGTTTTTGTCACCCCCCCATTAGGCCACCCCCCACTGCCACCCGCCCGGATGCTTCTGACTGCCTCCTTGCGTGGCTTCCCGGGATCGGGTCGCATCGGGAGGCCGTCGGGTAATACCAAGAAGCTCCCGGGACGGTCCGAAATCAAGAGCGCCCCACGGCAGCCCGAGAGCCGCCCAAGACTTATGCTGCTCCCATCGTGGTTAAGGACCACATCCCAGAAGTGATTTCGAGCACCCAGAAATGTATCGAAACCGTGTCGAACGAGTATCGCCTCCCAGGGCCCGACTGGTGAAAACCCTCAAGTTTCGGTACCTTCCTGGTGCTCGACCTACTTTCAGGTGATCAACTCTAAAGTAAGTTGGAACATCATAACCCGAGACGGCTCAAGAGGGCTCCCAGACGGCCCCAAGTCCCGCCAAGACGTCCCAAAGACGATTCCGCTGGGCTTTTTCGGGAGAGATCTGTGGAACCATTGCGCCGCCCAAGACGGCCCCTATGATCCCCGACGTCCACGGGCAACCCCGGGAGCCCCCAAAAATGCTCCAACATGCCCTGGGGACGAGAGGGGAGGAGAGTGAGGAGGAGGAGGAGGAGGAGGAGGAGGAGGGTGAGGAGGAGGAGGAGGAGGAGGAGCAGGAGGAGGACAGAAGAGGAGCGGGCACCAGGAGGGGGCGCTCAAGACTCCCGCGAGTTCAAACAGAACACCGATGGGAGTGGGAGATGAAGCAAACTCCTTCCTGTTGCGCCGCTGCGCTGGCACGGTGGCGGGGTTTGCCGCAGGCAGCGGGAGAATCATCGAGTGCGCTGGCCTCAAGGATCCAGCCGAAGGAGGTCGGAGACGCCTCCCATGTGACTCAAGGCGGAGCCCCAAACCCTACCACCTCACACCGTTGCCCTCCCTCCCCACGACCGCCACTGGATTTCCTCTCCCTCCCCCCACAGCTATTGCCTGAATCGGCGGCGAGCGAGGGGGAGAAGTTAGAAGAGGAAGGCCCTCTCAGAAGGCAGCGGGGCTTCTCAGAAGCCCTCGCGCCTTCGGAGAGGTTTTCTGCGTCTTGGGGGAAGGCGAAAAAGACTTATCAGAAGACTGGGAGACTTCCGAACCTTCTGTGAAGGCCTTCTCCTTCTCACTTCCCCCCCTCGCTCGCCGTCGACTGGAACGGACCTGTGCAGGCCAGCGAAAGCGAAAGGAGGGCAGGCGCCTTCCAGCATCATCTGGATTCTCGGCGCAGCCACATGTCGCTGCTGGTTCGGTCAAAATCTCTGGTGTGCTGCACCATGTTCTTCAGCTGCGGCAGCACTGACCCCAGAGCCCCGGTCAACTGCTCCAGCGTAGGCTCGCTTGGGAACTTCACAGTCTTGCAGAGCGCTCCGCGAGAGTGCTCGCCGAGGAGCTCCTTCAGCGCCCGCTGCTCCACGGTGGAATCGCCGATGGACAGCACGTTCCAGCGAATGCTCCGGAGGCCGCTATACATACGCCCCAGGCACTTCGCCATGGCATGCTTCTTGGACAGCACGCGCGAGTCGTCCTCGTTCTGCTGCTCGGCGTAGTAAATGTGGATGCCCAGGCTGCGGAGCTCCCGGGGGAAGCCACCGCCGGGGAGGATGAGCTCGCACTTGGAGTGCACCCACTCCTTCGAGGCCAGGGTCACGATGGCCACCCGGGCGACCTCCCGCGCCCCCCGCAGGGCGGCCAGCACGGTCTCCCCGTGCCTCAGGAAGGCCTCCCGGTTGGCCGAGGTGCTCAGCAGCGGGTCCTGCGACCCGCGCCCCAGGAACCACGTCGGGAAGAGCGTGTCGTCCCAGTCGAAGATGATGACGGCGTTGCTCGGCGAGAAGGGGTCCAGGTCGCGGGCGCCGGCGATGCGCTTGAGGAGCGTGCGCAGGCCCCGCTGCCTCTGCGGCTGCTCCGGGCCCGATTCGTTGCTGCCGGTGGCGGTGCTGACGGCGGACTGAACCGAGCCGAGCGTCGAAGCTCGGTACAGCTGGGCACCGTCCCCCTGCGCTCGGCCAGCTCCAGCTCCGCTGGAGGCGGATGTGCTCCTCAGCGAATCGACCGTGGTCCCCCGATTCAGGGAAGCGCCGTCTGCGCTCCTCGCGGCATCTGCGGCCCTCCGTGTCGCGTCCGCGGTCCTCCGCCGCACAAACTTCCAGGTGACGGCGACCTTCCAGCCAGAAGGCTTCACCTGGGATGGGCAACGGGAGAGGGAACCAGCCCAGGGGGGGAAGCAGCGACCTGACTTCGGCGATGCATCGCCGAAAGATCGGCGTTAGGCCCCCGATACTGAAACCGCACGGTCCTGGGCGGGGCGGGATAGTGGGCCCTGATCGAGGATGAATGGGCGATTGGGGGTCGACGCATCCCTCCTGCAGCCTGTTCCCCCCGCTGCTGAGGGAAACACCCGCCGGCAGAAGCAGCCACATCGCTGTGAGGAAACGGGTCCTGCGGAAAACGGGTCCTGGACCCGAAGGGCCTTCCCCCAGGACCAGCTCGTCCTCCCGAGTCGTCTTCTGACAGCCCTGGGGCCCGGGGAGGGCCCCGGGAAGCCCAGAAGACGGCGAAGTAGAGCCTCCGGAGGCGAGCCCCCCAACGTCGCCCCAGAACCTTGAGGGGGTCGACGCTCATCACCACGCCCAGCTTCCACTCCTGCGAGGTCCTGTCGCGCACCTCTACCCTGTCGCCCAGCTTGAGGTCCAGCTCCGGCGCGCCGGCGGCAGCCGGCGCCGTGTCGCCCGCGGCGCCGCCCGCCTGACGCCCGCCGGGTGTGAGTGTTTCCACCCGCGGCCCTGGAGATCCCGACCTAAGACGAAGCCAGGGCGAGGATAAAATCAGGGTGAGGGGGCCGGACGCTCGTTCCTTGTTCCCGGGTGCGTGGCTGAAGTGGGGATCTGCGGGGAGGATTCTGATCGTTCTTGTTGTTGCTGTTGTTGGTGGTGATGTCGTTGTTGCTGTTGTTGTTCTTGTTCTTTTTGTTGGTGGTGGTGCTGTTGTTGGTGTTGCTGGTGTTGTTGTTGTTGCTGTTGATGTTGTTGTTATTCTTGATATTGTTGTTGTTGTCATCGTTCCCCCCCCCCCGACCCACCCATGACCCACCCCGCGACCCACCACGCGACCCACCACGCGACCCACTCGCGACCCACCCCGCGACCCACCCTGTGACCCACCACCCACCCCGCGACCCACCCGGCGACCCACCTCGCGACCCACCCGCGACCCACCCCGCGACCCACCCCGCGACCCACCCGCGACCCACCCGCGACCCATACGCGACCCACCCGCGACCCATCCGCGACCCAGCCCGCGGCCCACCCGCGACCCACCTGCGACCCACCCGCGACCCACCCCGCGATCCACCCACATTGCTTCAACGAAGAAATCGGCGCCTGCGGCGGGCTCACTGCATAACTTGTAAAAGTTAAGCGCCTGCGGCGGGCTTCTTCAGAGCCTCGCAGACTGACGACGTCCTCGCCGCCCCCTGGCTCTTATCCGCAACTGCGGGGTGCTACGTATTATTATAACATCGGGTGAGGATACCGTGGACGCCAGTCCACCAGAAACCTTCCACAAGAAACCCAACCCTGAGACCCCAGGACTTCCAATGGTTTTTGGTGTGGGAGCGTGACGCTTTCCAAAGCAAAACCACCGAAACCCAAGAAACCCAGGGCACCCTGGAGGCAGGCAGGGTGTTCCTTGGCATGGGCCTCCACTATAGAAATCCCGACCTCGCACGAAGCCAGGACGAGGATAAAATCGGGCGAAGATAAATCGAGTCTCTGAAATCCGGCGGCTCTGGAAAATGTCTCGGGAGCCGCGGCCTTCTCAGAGCGTTCCGGAGCACTCTGAGAGCGTTCTGGAACGCTCGGAAACGGATTTAGGAAACCAGCTGGTGCCTATGCCATCCTATGCCGCTACTCCCTGGACCTCTCCTGGGGTGCGTTCTGACCAGGATGGCGAAGCGAATCCAGCGGTGGCGACGAGGGCCGCCCAAGAGGACCAGAGAAGGAGAAAACTGGGCCAGGGCAGCGGTATCTGTGACTTTCCCTCCTCCGAGGATCTGTCCCCGCCCTCGCCCCGCCCGGCCCGATCCCTTCCCAGGGGGCAGTCTTTCGCGCTCAGTGAGTTCTCGGGGATGGCCCCGGGGCCCGAAAGCGGTCCCCGAGGGCCGACCTTGGCCCCCGAGGGCCCCCGAGGGCCGACCTTGGCTCCAGGCCCGCCGTGCTTCGGGTGAGTTCGCAGGCAGGGCGGAGACGCCCAGCCCGCTTCCACGCGCTCTCTGATCAGCAGCAGGCAGGAAGAGGGCCCCTGACCCTCTGGGAGGGGACCCGAGTCAGGAGGGCCCAAATCGATGGGCACAGGGGGTCTTTCCTGCAGAAGATGTATCCAGCCCAACCGCCCAAACTCATTGCCCCTAACGCAAGCACGGTGACCTAAGTTTGTCAACGTCTTCATTGTGTTGTGTAAGGTCAGGGATCCTTTTATTCTCGATGACTCTTGACGTCGATTTTCGCCTCACTTTACCGTCTCTGTTTCCGCCATCATTCTGCGGAGATATGTGTCTCTATCTATCTCTCTGAGGCGGACAGTTCGGCCTTGCTGGTTCGCGTCCTTCGGGGTGCATTCCCGATACACGCTGTTAAGTCGGAAAATCAACCAAAATACGGCGGATCCGAAGACAGGGGAAATCGAGGCGAATCAGGGGCAACGATAAAGGGAACCAGCCCAGGGGGGGAAGCAGCGACCTGATTTCGGCGATGCATCGCCGAATGATCGGCGATAGGCCCCCGATATCGAAACCGCACGGTCCTGGGCGGGGCGGGATAGCGGGCCCCTATCACGGATGAATGGGCGATTGGGGGTCGACACATCCCTCCTGCAGCCTGTTCCCCCCGTTGCCCCTAGGGCCCCTGAGGGAAACTACCGCCGGCAGAAGCAATCATATCGCTGTGAGGAAACGGGTCCTCTGAAAAACGGGTCCTGGACCCGGGGGCCTTCCCCCAGGACCAGCTCTTCCTCGCGAGTCGCTTTCTGACAGCCCTGGGGAGGGCCCCGGGGAAGCCCAGAAGATGGCGAAGTAGAGCCTCCGGAGGCGAGCCCCCAACGTCGCCCCGGAACCTTGAGGGGGTCGACGCCCAGGACAAGCCGGGGCCCGTGGAGGGCCCCGGGAGGCCCAGACGACGGCGGGAAGCCTCCGGAGGCGAGCCGGCCCACGGCGCGACCCAGAGCCTGAGCACCCCGAGAAGGCAGCCCGCAGTGCGGGCGGCCCGCCCGAAGGCCCCCCCAGCGTGGCAAAGCGGCGGGGCGCGGGCTTCCAGCGCGGCCCCCTTCTGCGGACGACCTACCAGACCACCCCAACCCAACCCGAGGACCCGAAGGTCGGCCTCAGACGGGAGGTCTTTAACAATCTTCGGCCTCAGAGGCCCTCGCCGAGCCTCGGGACCGTCAAAAACGACTCAGGACGAAAAACTGGTCCTGGGGAAAGGGTCGGGACTTCCAGGGAGCCCGCAGTAAAAAAATCAGGACGTCGAATGTCTGACTAGGTACCAAGCCATCCCAACCCAACCCGAAGACCCGAATTTCGGGTGGGGGGGGCACGGGCTTCATACGTGTTTTTGTCCACGTTCCCCGACCCCTCCCCGCACTGGAAGAGGAGGGCAGATCGGGGCCTTCGGGTCGGGTTGGGGAGGTTTGGTGGGCGGTGATCTGCTCGGGGGCAGCGAGAGCGGGTGCGTAGTTAAGCGTCGTCCGATCTCCCTCAGGACCCGTTGCTGGGAGCGCACAGGGGGTTATGCGGAGGGCGGAAGGCTTCTTAAGGAGGAGGCTGCTTCTTAGAAGGCGCCGGCCCTACATCTACAGACGAGGCCCGCGCCTTCTAAGAAGCAGCCTGCTTCTAAGAAGCCCTCCCCCCTCCCCCTGCCTGAGGGGCAACGGTACGGAGGGACTGGCGCAGGGGGGGACACATCGACCTGGCTTCGGCAATACATCAACGATAGGTCGGCGGTGGGTCCCCGATAGCCAATCCGCCCGCCGCTGGGCAGGTTGGGGCCATCGGGCCCCGAGCAGCGATCCATGGGAGATTGGGGGTCGCTGCATCTCCCCCCTGTGCCTATCCCCCCCTACCGTTGCCCCTGTAGGGGGCCACATGCGAACCCTACCCCATACCCCCCACGATTTCTGAGGAGGAGGCCAGGGTTCACTTCGCTCGGGAGCCCACGAGCGACGTGGACCCCGCCCTCCCCCTTCAAAAATCGTGGGGGCAGGGCTAGGGCTCGCATGTGGCCCCCTATACCCTGCCTGCCCCCCCCCCCCCTGCGCGTGGCCGACGCTGCCTCCGTGGAGGGCCGGGCCTGCGCGGCGGCCGCGGCCGCGGCCGCGGCCGCCGGCCGCGGCGCGGCGGCGGGCCCCCCGCCCGGAGGCTCGCCGAGGCCCTCCCCGGGCGGCGCCCGCGCGCGCGGCCGCGGCCGCGGCGGCGCCGCCGGGGAGAGCCCGCCGCCACGGCGGGCGGGCCGCTTGCCGGGGCCCGCCGCCGGCGGCGCGGGGGCGGCGCGCTCCTCACGACGACGACGACGACGGCGACGACGACGACGACGACGACGACGACGACGACGACGACGACGACGACGACGACGACGACGACGACGACGACGACGACGACGACGACGACGACGACTGTCAACCCGTATAAGAACGGGCACGAGAAGGACGCAAGGGCCTTGGAAGGCCATGTCGCCGCCTTGCGAGCGGGGCGCGGCCAGCGAGAGCGGCCAAGGATGGGCCGGAAGGGAAGGGTGCAGGGGTAACCTTGGAAAGCTGCTCATCCTTACTATGCGGGTCGACTGCAACACACACGGTGAAGGTCTTGGATAAAGAACCACTGGAGAAGGAATCCAGGGTCTGGAAGCCCGCGGAACTCCAACCGTGGGAGCGGCCACGGGCATCACCGCCGCCATCATTGGATAAGGAATCCTCCAGGGTCCGAAGCCTCCTAGGCACATTCCTGAGCTAACGCCCCCACCGCATCCGCAAACCGCGACGCGTCGGCACGGAACCCACCGCGTGGGCTGCAAGCGCACGCTCGGCGCGGTGCGCTCGCAAAAACGTGAACAAAGCCCGTTGGGCCAACACTCATGGTCTGCGGGTCGAGAGCGAGCCTCTTCCGGTTAAGAGCTAGGCGGGCCGCGCAAAGCACTAATTGGGGAGACAGAGCACAGGCGGCCGGGGCCTCCGGCGGCCGGAGGGCGGGCCGGGGTGCAGGCGGTGCTGAGGAGCTTGCACAGGAAAAGGAAAGCCTTGGACAGGAGCCAGAGGCGACGTTGGGCCAACACGCAACGTGTTAACACGGACGTCGTGAACGCGGTGCGTGTTTGCGCTTCGGGGCGGGGGGCACCAGGCAAGCTCAGGTGTCCACTGCCCCCGGCCAGGCCCATCCCTGGGGAGCGGTGCAGATGCCTCCCTGGCCAGGCCGGGCCAGGAGGCCGTAGGCACCGCCCCTGGGCCTGGGGCAGGGACCCAGAGATCCGACGTCGTGATTTTGTCAATGCGGGGTTCCCGGACGTCTCGACCCATTCCCCAGGACCGGTTTCTCGCCCCGAGTCGTTTTGCTGACGGTCCCGGGGCCCGGCGAGGGCCCCTCGAGGCCGCAAATTGAGCAAAGCCTGCGCCTTGATTCAGGGGAACAAGATGTGACATAAACATAAAACCTCGGAGGTCCGCGCGGATTTCTCGGATCGGCGCTGGGGCCCCCTCCCTGGCGCGCGGAGCACGCCAGGGGCGGCGCCGGAGGTGCACAGATCGCGTCGCCGCTGCTCCTGGGCCGGGGCCTCGGCGCGGGCCTCCGCCGCGGGCGGGGCCGGGCGGTCGCCGGCAGCGCCCGCGCTGCCCCCGTGGGCTTCCTCGCCAGCGGCGCGCGCGGCCGCGTGCGCCGTGCCCCGGCGCCGTGAGGCCTCCTCTCGGGGGGGAGCGAAAGGGGGGGATAGCAAAGGGGGAGGTTGAAAATCAGCTCACGGTGCTGATTTTCCCGGCGCCTCCTGGCGCCGGAGGCGGCCATGTATCGAGAAATGGGCCCCTCGGTGGGGCCGAAACCAGCTGCATGCAGCAGATTTCGTACCCCCCCCTTTCCCGACCCCCCCTTTCGTCCAGCCCGATCCTCTCGGGGGGGAGCGAGGGGGGGTGGGGGGGGCTAGCAAGGAGCAGGGTGGAGAATCGGCTTACGTAGGTCTTCCAGCGCCTCCCAGCTGATGTTTTGTCCCCCCCCCCCTGGGGGGGCTAGCAAGGGGCAGGGTGGAGAATCGGCTCACGTAGGTCTTCCAGCGCCTCCCAGCTGATTTTTCCCCCCCCCTCCCCCTAAAGTCTACGCGTCCGCGAGGGATGCAAGGCCGCAGACAGACTCCCGGCGCCGGGAGGCGCCCACGTATCGAGGAATGGCCCAGCGGCGGGGCCGAAACCCGCTGCATGCAGCAGCTTCTCCCCCCCTCTCGGTCGGCCCGATCCTCCACGGCGGCGAAGACGGCGGCGTCGTGGTCGGACCTCGGGCTCGTCGGGGTCGGGCTGGCAGCCTCCGAGGACGACTGCGAGGATCCGTGCTGCTGCCAATCGTTCAGGGGCACGCGGCGTGACCCCGCGAGGGCCTCCACGGGGCTGCTGGAGCTGCTTCCAAAAGGGCCCGCAGAGTACGCCGAGATGTTGGAACTGAAGCGGACAGCAGCCGGCTGGCGCGAGCCACCGTCTGGCCAAGCAGCTGCGGCGGACGACTCCTGCGGCTTGCAGGCCGGCCGCGCCGCGTCCAGTCTGATGCGCTTCTCCAGCGGACTGTCTGCAATCTGAAGCGCGGGCTGATCGCCATCTGCCTCGTGTGGTGCCGCACCTCCGAAGCGGCACGTGCAGCAGGAAGGCTGACCGCTAAACAAGTATCCCATCCATGCTGGGAGACCCCCTTCGCCACCACCAGCGTCGCGCATTCGCCCGCGGCCATCCAATGGCGGGCCAGCAGGACAAAATGGCCGGGGACTGCTCGAGCCAGACCGCTGCCGGAGAGAGATGGAAACCAATGAGGCGCACACCCGGCGGCGAGCGAGGGGGGGAAGAGAGAAGGAAAAGGTCTCCTCAGAAGGCGGCGGGACTTCTCAGAGAAGTTTTCTGCGTCTCTGGCGAAGGCTCAGAAAACTTCTCGGAAGGCTGGGGGGGGCTTCCGAGCCTTCTGAGAAGGGCCCGCCACTTCTCATTTCCCCCTGGGTGTCGCCGCCAATACACCCTGCTGGGACCTCAATGGTCGACACCGTACCCCAGCACAAACCCGCCGTGCCGTGACGGAATGGTGCGATGGCGTGCCCGCGACGTTGCATACAGCACGACAAATAGGGCGAAGATCGGCAGCAGCAAGGACGGCAGTCGCAAACCGTGCGCGTATGCTACACGGGCCGCACACCAGATGCACATGCGCACGTGCACGGGCAACGCCCCCCCGTGCCCATCATGCTTTGTATCAGTGATGGCATGGGAGGAATGAGCGATGGGGAGCACTGGCCTCCTCCTCCTCCTCCTCCTCTTCCAAATCCTCCTGGTTGTCGTCCTCGTCCTCGTCCTCGTCCTCCTCCTCCTCCTCCTACTCATCCTCCTCCTCCTCCTCTTGCTGCACCTGCTCGTCACTGTCCTCCTTAGCTTCCTAGTCTGTACGACTTTCCACCTTCCAGCTTCCTGTCGCTCCCTTGGCAGGCACTCCCCGTGTGCGAAGAAAACAAACAAAACAACGAGTAGCCGACGAAACCACATGATACCAGTGCCACTTGATTGGTATCATGAGGGGGGCCCTGCGTTGCCACTGCCAATAAGGCAAATGCGAGGGGAGGAGGGTGCGTCCCATCGCCGCTTTCCCTGAGGTATTTCTAAATGTAGATGCCCTGAGACGCAACACGCGACTGGGAGTGTGTTGCCATTGGACCTCAACAAGTAGATTGAAAACTCAACAAGTGCGGACCAGACACGCAGCGTGTTCAACCCGGACGATTTGAACACGGAGCGAGTGATGTTTCAACACGGGCGGACCAGGGCAGCGCTGAATTGCTAAGCATACGCCCAACGTTTTCCCCTTGGTGGACGGAGCAGGCACAAAACATTGCCACCACATTCAATCGCTTCGCTCACTCCGCCGGCACATGCCCAGGCTGCATGTGGTGTGTAATGGCCTTCAGCGAGGTTGGGTCGTGGACGAGAGGCCCTGCTGGGAGGCCTGCTGGGGTCTCTTGGCAGGCCTCCAGGGAGCCCCGCGGCGGCCTGCTGGGGCCTCTCGGGGGCCTCTTGGGGGCCTCTCGGAACGCAGCACCGCCGCCCTCTCCAAAGCAAAGGTCCCATGCGCGGACGTCGCCGACGTCCCCCTTTCGGATCGGCGGCACCGGCCGTAAGGCCTTCGCAATCAAAGGTCCCACGCGCGGGCAGCTGGCTCCCACGCCAGCGCAGCACTGCTCTCCGGGCAGGAGTCGTCGGCAAGACGGCCAGGAGTACCAGCATATGCGCTCTTGCCTGCGCACCGTCTGGCGCAAGGCGACCTGGCGGACTGCCCTGAAGGGGCCCAGGGACACACAAATAAGTACGCAGAAATCCAAGGAGTCCCCATATTTTCTCATACTTTCTGGATTTCCGTCTTCCCCCCACTTCCCATATTGTCAATTTTTCCTGGGGGTCGACGATTCATTGTATCTGTGTATGTTTTCCCCTCCTGATGTTTTTTCTCCTAGATGGAAAGATAAACGGACACGTTGCAGCCTGCCTGGCAGAGGGCATCAGAGGGAGCTCCCTCATCCGCCCGCCGCGCGGGATCCTTCTGGCGGTCCCCCAGCGTGTATAGAAGGGGAGGGAAGGAGGGACAGAGAGAAAGAGAGAGAGAGAGAGAAACAAAAAAAGAGAGAGACTCCAAAAAACGTGGACCAAAGAACCTCCTCCCTCACCCCTTGTCCCCGTCATCCCCCCTCCTCTTCTCCTGCTCCGCCCCTCTTCTCATTGCACCGGCCTTGCAGACGTGCTGCAGCGGATTTCTGCGTGGATTTCTGCGTGGATGTGTGCCCGAAGCGGCGAGCGAAAAACGAAGTGAACTTCGCGTGGATTACTTTTGGTCTTCATTCCTGGCCGAACAAAATCCGCACGGAATTCACCTCGAAGTCCGGAACGAAATTCTCTGGGACACTCCGGGCCCACCCTGTCGTTTTCCGAGCGGAATCTGCTCTGTGGGCGCCATGACGCTTCCTCCCTGCCCCCTCGGGCTCCGAGCACCGCGCCGAGCCCGATCTTCCGTAGGCCGAAGGAGATCAGGCCCGCCCCTGTGCCCCCCTCCTGCTCCGCCCCTCTTCCTCGTTTGTGGAGGATTAAGACGTTCTCGGCTGTTCGGCTTTCCGACGCTCCAAGACGCCCCAAGAAGGCCCATCCTCCTCCCCTTCTCCGCCCCTCTTCCTCCCTGCCCTCTCAGCTCCGAGCACCGCGCCGAACCCGATCTTCCGCAGGCCGAAGGAGATCAGGCCCGCCTGCGTACGGCCCACGGGTGAGGGGCCTGTCTTCCACCGCCACCACCACAAGTTGGAGGGGGGAGGGGGTCCTCCTCCCCCTCCTCCTTCTCCTCCTCCTCCTCCTCCTCCTCCTCCTCCCCCCCTCCTCCTCCCCCTCCTCCTCTCCTCCTCTCTCCTCCTTCTCCTCCTCCTCCTCCTCCTCCTCCTCCTCCTCCTCCTCATCCTCCTCCTTCTCTTTCCTCCTCTCTCCTCCTCTCCCTCCCCCTCTCCCTCCTCCTCCCCTCCTCCTCCTCCTCCTCCTCCTCCTCCTCCTCCTCCTCCTCCTCCTCCTCCTCCTCTCCTCCTCCTCCTCCTCCTCCCTCCTCCTCCCTCCTCCTCCTCCTCCTCCTCCTCCTCCTCCTCCTCCTCCTCCTCCTCCTCCTCGAGGGGGGGGCGCGGTCGAGACACCGGCAACAAGAGCGCAGCCAAAAAGATCACGGCGCGGGTGGTTTGGGAGAGGTGCGCGGAGGAAGAAGGGGGGGAAGGGGCAATGGGAGGGGAGGAATGGGGAGAAGGGGCGAGGGGGAAGGGGGGGAAAGAGGAAAAGGGGGGGAGAAGGGGGGAGGGGGGGGGGGAAAAGGGGGAGAAGGGGGAGGGGGAAGGGGGGAAGGGGGGGAGAAGAGGGGGAAGGGGAGGAGAAGGGGAGGAACGGGCACGAGGGCGCCCAATGGTCGGGAAACAATCCTGTAACAAGCGGGTGCCTCCCATGGTTCGTTGCCGTAGATGCCCGAACGTTGGGACACGAGCGGGTGCTCACTTACAGGGGAGGGTTGGAGCGTTGAGCGTTCTTCGGTCTCCTCGAAAGTCGTCGTGGCAACGGCTGGGCGCGGCTCGAAAAAACGAGCCAGGAGGGTCCGCGGGGGGAGTCCCGCGGAATGGTCCGAATGGATCTCGTCGGGGGCGGAACGGTAGGTGTTCCCCAAAAGGGCTCGCAGCCAAAACACGGCCACAAGAACGTGGGTCAAGACACAAATCCCCTTCGCCGACAGACCCTGAGGCACCACTTGCGAAAAAAACACTGCAAGGCGGAATGCCCAACCACGAAGAACACAAAGGTGTCCCTCAAAACTAAAACTGCTGTGTGCTGTGTGAGGCGTCGTGCCATCTGCGAAGCAGTAAACCAAGCAAAATCGGCCTTCCCACAGATGCACCACGGAAACTGACTGTCCCGGCGAAGCGTGGAACCGTAGTTCTGAAAACAGCGAGCTTCGGAACCGACAAGTTAGTTACGAAAGACGACGGCCCCCGCACCAAGCGAAATCAGTTAGGCAGACCGCGAAAACGCTGAGCGGCCGCATGTATGAAATTTGGAATGCCGCATGGGAGTTCACGCCTTATCCTATCACGTCAGCACGTACGTTGCCCCAGTCGCCAGGGGACACACGCGAATCCGGGACGCCTCGGGATGCTGTTTTTGGAACATCAGCGGCAGAGCGTGCCCGCCCGCCCCCGCCCCGCCCCCTGTTTTTCCAGCAAGATCTTGACCATCGCACGCATGCGCATAAATGGGCCCAGGAACTCTAGACACGAATCTCAGTACCCCTCATCAGAGTGAGGGGGGCGAAAGGTCGTTCACTGTCCCTGGGTGCGCGGCCAAACTTGGATCCCGCAATGCGGATTATTGAGGTTGTTGTTGTTGTTTGTTTGTTTGCTTGATTGGCGGGTTGTTTGTTGTTGTTATGTTTGTTGCTGCCGTTGATGATGTTGGTGATGATATTGTTAAGGATGTTGTTGTTATTGTTGTTGGTGTCGTTGTCGTTGTCTTGTTTGGTTGTGGCGTTGGTGGTGCTGCTGCTGTTGTTGTTATTGTTTTTGGTGGTGTTGTCGTTGCTGTTGTTGTTGGTGTCGTTGCTGTCGTTGCTGTTGTTGTTGGTATTGCTGGGGTTGTTGTTATTGATGTTGCTCTTGCTGCTGTTGTTGTTGTTTGGCGCCACCCCCCCCCCCACGACACACCCCGAAAATCACCCGCGACCCACCCCGCGACTCACCCCGCGACCCGCCCGCGACCCGGCCCGCGACCCACCCCGCGACCCACCCCGCGACCCGCCCGCGACCCACCCGCGACCCACCCCGCGACCCGCCCACCCGCGACCCACCCGCGACCCACCCACGACCCACCCGCGACCCCACCCGCGACCCGCTGGCGACTCACCTGCGACCCACCCGCGAGCCACCCCGCGACCCGCCCACACTGATTTAACGAAAAATCGGCGCGTGCGGCGGGCTCGTTGAATAGTTTTGAACATTCGGCGCCCGCGGCGGACTTCTTCAGAGCCTCGCGGACTGCAAACGCCCCCGCCGCCCCCTCACTCGTATCTGCGACTGCGGGGTGCTACGTTTTTTAAATATTTTCTAGAGTTTCGTTTCCACCCCTTCCACTTCCCAGATTTTCCCATTCCATCAGAGTGAGGGGGCCGAGCGGTCTTTCAATGCCCTTGGGTGCGTGGCTGAACTGCAATTCCGCAATGCAGATTATTGAGGGTGTTGTTGGTGTTGATGTTGTTGTTGGTGTTGTTGTCAGTTTGTTTGTTTGTTTGTTTGTTTGTTTCTCTGTTTGTTGGTTTGTTTGTCGGTTTGTTGGTTTGTTGTTTTGTTGATTTGTTGGTCTGTTTGTGTGTTTGTTGTCGCTGCTGTTGTTGGTGTTGTGTTTGCTTGTTCGTTTATGTGATTGCTCGTTTCGTTGCGCATGTTTGCACGTTTAATTGTTTAGTTGTTTATGTGTGTTTTGCTTGTTTGTTCGTTTGTTTGTTTGTTGGCGTTGGTGGTGGTGTTGTTTGGCGCCCGCGACCCACCTGCGACCCACCCCGCGACCCGCCCGCGACTCACCCGCGACCCACCCGCGACACACCCCGCGAATCACCCGCGACCCACCCCGCGACCCGCCCGCGACCCGGCTCGCGACCCGGCTCGCGACCCACCCGCGACCCACCCCGCGACCCACCCCGCGACCCACCCGCGACCCACTTCGCGACCCACCCCGCGACCCACGCGCGACCCACCCGCGACCCACCCGCGGCCCACCCGCTACCCACCCCGTGACCCACCCACATTGATTAACGAAAAATCGGCGCCTGCGGCGGGCTCGTTATATAATTTATAAAGATTCGGCACATGCAGCGGGCTTGTTCAGAGCCTCGCGGACTGCAGGCGCCCCCGCCACCCCCTCAATCTCATCCGCGACTGCGAGGTGCTACGTACTTGTCCTTGGAATCGACGATTATGTGTGTCTGTGTTTTTTCCCTCCCGGGTGCTGCATGGCCAGAGACGTGTATTTGGCGGCGCGCACTCGGGGGCGAAGTAAGGCGAGGGCTTCTTAGAAGGAGGCTGCTTCTTAGTAGTCGCTGGCCCTACATCCAGAGATCAGGCACGCGCCTTCTAAGGAGCAGGGGCGTTTCTAAGAAGACAACCCCCCTCCCACCACGCCCCTATGCGCATGGCAGAAGGTCAACGGAACATCGCAAAGAACAATATCTGAACAAAAAATGTGCGTTTCTGTCTGGGCCCGCCCATGGCAGCGCGAACTCGGGCACCGAAGTCGCCCCTGGCGGACGGGCAGAGCACCGCGGCGGCAAACCCGCAACAAAAACCCACGGCGACGCCGGTCGGTTGAAGTCGCGCAGGAGTGGTGCCGCTGTCGTCCACGCCGTGCACTGGAAGCGTCAGCTCGTGCATTGTCAGGTGCCTGGCAATCTCGGCGGCTCCGTTCATGGCAGGCTCCACTGCGTCAGGGCGCGCGCGAGCTGCGGCGGGCGGCGCGCTGGGCGGCGCGGCCGAGCTCCCCCTCTTGAGCCACAGCTGACTTCTACTACTTCAAAGTGTGGTCGTTTCTCGGAGGAGGAGACTAACGTCCAGCGGCTTTTTGGGGGAGGAAACATACTGCATGCGCCCATGTGGTCGGGGTCTTCTACTACGTATTTCACGCTGGGTTGGCGCACCAGTGTCTTTTACATCAACTACAGCTGCTCAAACTTGCTCGTGGGTCTGAGGAGACCCCCCCGAAGTGGAGATGAACGCGCCGTTCGCTCCAATGGCCTCCGTGCCAAAGGCGCCCATACTCTCGCGGCCGGCACAAAAATGGAGGGGGAGGTGTGTGTGTGTGTGGCGTGTGTGCGTGTGTCGGTGTCTGTTTTCTGTGTGTGTGTCTTCTATGTGCCTCTTCTGTGTCTGTGTGTGTGTCTTTGTGTGTGTGTGTGTCTGCGTGTGTCTGTGTGTATGTGTGTGTTGTGTGTCTGTGTGTACGCACGTGCGTGTCTGATCGTGTGTCTGTGTGTCTGTGCGTAAGTGTCTGTGTGTCATTTCTGTGTATATTATCTGTGTGTCTTTTCTGTTTTTTCTGTGTGTATGTTCTGTGTGTGCGTTTTTCTGTGTCTTTTCTGCGTGTGGGTGTGTCTTCTCTGTGTGCGTGTGTCTGTGTGTGTCTGTGTGTGTGTGTCTGTGTGTGTCTGTGTGTGTCTGCGTGTGTGTGTGTGTGCGTGTGTCTGTGTGTGTACCTCTGTGTGTGTGAGTATGTGCCTTGCCTGTGTCTTTTCTGTGTGTGTATGTTTTCTGTGTGTGTCTTTTTCTGCGTGTGTGTGAATTTTCTGTGTATGTTATGTGTCTATCTTTTTCTGTGTGTAACGTGTGTGTGCGTATTTCTTCTGTGTGTGTATTTTTCTGTGTGTCTGTTTCGTGAGAGTGTGACTACTGTGTGGTTTATGTGCGTATCTTCTGTGCTTGTGTGATTTATGCGTATGTATGTGTGTGTTTTCTCCGTGTGCGCTGTCAGTGTTTTTTCTGTGTGTCGTTTCTGTGCGTGTGTGTTTTATGTGCGTGTGTGTGTTTTCTGTGTGTGCGTGTGTCTTCTGTGTGTGTTATGTCAGTGTGTCGGTCTGTGTGTGTCTGTGTGTGTGTCTGTGTGTGACTGTGTGTGTCTGTGTGTGTGCCTGTGTGTGTGCCTGTGTGTGTGCCTGTGTGTCTGTGTGTTTGTGAGCGTGTCTCTGTGTATGTGTGTGTGTCTTTTGCGGCGTGCGTACGTGTGTGTGTGTGTCAGTGTTTGTGTCTGTGTGTCTGTGTGTGCGTCGGCGTGTCTCTGTGTATGTCGATGTGTTTGTATGCATGTGTACGTGTGTGTGTGTTGTGAATGTCTGTGTATGTTTGTGTGTTTGTGCTACGGCTGGTCAATACTGTTTGTGATCATCTAGAAACCCTCCAACAATCAAGATACTCGCGCCGTTTCCCCCGAAGGCCTCCCAACCGAAGGAAGACATAATCTCGAGGCGGTCATCACGCGGGCAAAACAAACCATGTGCTTCGCATTAACTACACCTGTTCAGTGTTTGTTCGTGGGTCTCTGGGGGCCGTTTGGCAATCGAGATGTACGCGCCGCTCGCTCCAGTGAATGGTATCCCTGCCGAAGGCGACCGTAGCCTCACGGCGGGCAAAACGCGGGAGAGGGGGAACAATGCGTTTGCACATCAACCACGGCTGCTCAATGCTGTTTGTGGGTCTCTGGAGACGCTCTGGCCACCAAGATGTTCGCGCCGTTTCTTCCCGAGGCCCCCCCCGGCCGAAGGAATCCATGGTTTCGCGGCGGTCAGAACGCGACTCGGGCAAACCACGTGTGGTTTCATCAGCTACGGCTGTTCCGTGTTGTTTGCGGGTCTCCGGCTACCCTTTTCGCAGTCGAAAGGCACGCGCCGCTCGCTCCACCGGCCTCCGCGCCGAAGGGGCCCATGATGCCGCGGCCAACCAAACGCGGGAGGGGGGAACGCTGTGTTTTTGCATCAGCTGCGGTTGCTCGATGCTGTTTGCGGGGCTCTCCTTCCGCGCGCGAAGAAAAATCGGATCAAGGCGTTCGCTCGCATTGCCTGCGCTCTGAGCAGCAGCCATGGAAAATGACGGCGAGAACGAAGAGGGCGACGGGGAAGACGGACAAGGAGAGCAACGAACGACAAACAGGGAGGATGGAAAGATGGAGGGACGAGTAGACGGAGGGAGGAGGAATAGCCGTAGATACATCAATGCGTCGACACAGCTTCGCGCATCTGTGCCGCGCGGCGTCTGCCCGACGACCCCTGCCCACACCGAGATGTCGTCTGGTTCGGGATACCCCTGGCGGCCCGCGCGCGCCAGAAACGCGCGGGAACCTTTCTCTGGGTCGTCGCCATCGTAGTTGAAGACGTCGATGACATGTTTTGTCATTGAGATTGTCCCCAATACGATCACGCAGACGCGTGGCATCGCGCGGATTTTGCCGCGTTCGCCTTGCATCGCGAGCTGGTGGAGCGGTGGAGGGTCGCGGGCCTGCACGTTCATTGCGACCACCTGGTTGGGCCGCATCACAATGATCCCATGATAATCAGTCATTGGCTGGCGCTGCTTGTCGGCGTAGAAGACCTTGGTGTGCGTCGCGCGCCCAGGATGCTGCTCCGACGAAACAATTGAACGGCGCAGTCGCCGATGTCGAAATACGTTAGTTGCGAGCCCATCACCTGGGCGACCGCCGCGCACGTCAATCTCAAAGCGGTCCTTGCGCGTGGCCAGCTCCATGAGGCGGCGCAACCGCGCCCCCTTCGTCGAGTCGCCTGCGCTTGCTGAGCTGCGCCCGAGGGCCGCGGTGACCTGCCGGTCGTAGATGTTCGTGTTTATTGTTAATTCGCTTGCTACTTGCTAGAATTCGTGACTTGTGCTGTGATCGTTCGATTGCAAAGTTGCTGTGTCGATTGTTTATGTATTATGTGTTTATTGTTGTTTACGTCTGCTTGGACCTGCTGGTCGCAGAGTGCGCCGTCAGCATGGGCGTTGAAACGATGGCAAAGGTCGCGGCAGACGCAGCCCCGCAGGTCCTGCGACAGCGCCTCGGGGCGAAGAAACGGAAGCACGCCGCCCACACCGTCGAACGCGGCAACCCCATAGGCCCCGTGACCGGTTACGTCCGCGCTCGCGGACACGTCGGCTTGGACGGGGCGCTGCGTCTTGCCAGCGGAGCCCCAGAGGGAGAACATGGCGGCAGGCATCGCGGGATGCCTGGCGGCGTTGGGCGTGCCGCTCGCGCCGCGCACGGCTTGGAGGAGAGCGCTATGACTCCGACGGCAGCGGCGGTACAAAGGAAAGAAAGAGGGAGTTGGCAAGGGAGCACGAGGGGGATCGCTCGGAGGAAAAAGGAGGAAGAGCAGAAGGAGGAGGATAATGACCAGGTGGACA